TGAGGTGCTCATTGTCCTTTGGTCACTTATGTTACTTCTGTTTTACATACGATGTTTCAACAAAAATATTGGCCCAGCGCAGGTTTCATTTTTCTGCCTCTGACACCCAGATCTGTGTGGCAGCTAACCTTGCAAAACCAACAAGTAACCAGAGTTTTCACAAGCCACAAGAGGGCTATAAATCACTTTTGTGCTGGTATATAAATATGTGCTGGTGTGTGCAAATTTGGTACAAGTTCTTAAAATGTATAAACATTAACTTTTCCGTTTCTTTTTCTCTCCATTCCCCTTGTCAGTAAAGATTAGATGTCTTTTATTTACTGTGGGAACAGCAATTAGTTCCTTAAAAACTTTTTTTTGGGGGGGGAGGGGGGAGAAAGCAGCTAAAATAAGGCCTCCTTGACATGTTCCCAGGTCTCACTGCTGCTCTCATAGACAACTCTTCTTTTTCTTCTTTTTTCTTTTTATTTTTTCTTTTTTTTTTTCTTTTTTTTTTTCTTTCTTTTTTTCTTCCTCAGAGAAACATAAGTTTAAAGGCTGATGCAAAGGCCTAGAGAGGCTTCTTTAAGTGCTGTTTCTTTGTATGGATTTACCTAAGTTGTTATAAAATCCAGGTCTGTTCAGTCAGTGAAATAGGCAAACTGTTTTGTTTTTCTTTTTTTTCCTTTTGTTTCCAAATGTTTGTAAGTGCATTGCTATGCCTGTCGATGCTGTTTCACCAGTTTACACTACCCAGATTTTTGTATCAGCATGCAAAAACCCCACAGAGTATTGGGTGCAGTGAATTGACTTACTGAAAGTGACACAGGAACACAATGGCCAAGCCCCAGAGGGCATCACCTGAGTGCCTCTGGTTGAACTGCAAATGGCTCTTGGGAAAAGGCTGCATGCAGCTGTGTGACTGAGTTAGAGGTACTGGTGGGAAGAATGCAGGAGTGGTGTCATGGTGGAGCTACGCTGGGCTGCTCCTCATCTGCCAGGCAAAGTGCTCATCATGCTCTGGCTTGTACCCGTCCCCTCCCTTGCAGTACCTTACCATAAGAGATTATAGGCTTAGCTGCACCTCTTCTCCCGTGGCATTAATTAATATAAACAACTGCAGGGATCACTCTGAAGGTTTGGATGTTTACATGCCAAGCCCTACATAATTGGTAATGGAGGTATATGTCAAACACAGCTTTAACGCTTCACTCAGCAAGCCCTTCCTGCACAGCTGATGGATGGCAATTAGACCACGCCAAGTCAGAGATTCCTGTGCAAACACTTTCCTGTTGTTGAGGAAAAATAGATTTAAAGAGTAAATAGGGTGAATGATTGAAGCAGCTACTCCTGCAACAAGCTGGGCTCTGTTAAGAATGGGAAATATGAACTACGAGGTTTTTCCATTCATCAGTATGGTTTAAGTGATATGTCAGCTCAGGGTAGGGTAATACAGTAGTCAGGAGCTGTGCAGGAATTTGGAAAAACTGGTTTCAATTCTTGGTCTGACATCTGATTCCTAGCACGTATAAATGTTTATTACCTCTGGTCACCAGCTGCAAATGGCAGCTAATGCTTCCCAGCAGAGCTGAGCATGAAGCTGTCTAGGCTGCAGAGTGCTGGGAAGCTTCATATAGGTTTCAGCCCCTAAAACAATCCATATTAAACATGATAAGGCAGTAACCTAAATTTCCTCAAAAGGCCGCTCTTGTTCCCTGAAGTGAAAATATTGGGTTGGTGTTACATTGATTCAGGCTGGTGTGGAAGAAACGTTGAACCTGCAGCGCGGGCTGTGGCCTGCACATAGGTGGTCCTTCCTTATCTCGGACAGAGGGAATGAAGAAGATTGAAGTAGCTCAAAGTTTCAGTATGAATGATCAAGATTCAACTGTGTCTGCTCAGTTACTGCAAAGAAGTCCTGTAGTAACAAGCACTTATTCCCTTTGTTTACATGGTTTATATAAACTTAGGGGGACATAATAAAAAAGATTTCTTTTATTAGTAACAATTACATTAATTAAAAAAAAAAGTGCTATAAAAGAAAAAATCCAAGTGTTGATAAGCTAAAATAAAGAAAAAATCAGGATACAAAAGACCAGAAATGCACTTATAAAACCATTTATGCCCTATGATGTTAATGTTTTAATCTAATGAAAGCTTAAACCTTAAAAGGTGGGCTGCCCCACAACACCGAGTGAACCAGCTATACAAATTGAAGTTGTAATACAGGAATATGCACTGCTGGAAAACCAAGCTGACAAAGGTGAGAGGGTATAGCACACCTGGAGGAAGAGCAGGACTCTGAGAAATACAAATGAAAAAGGTGAGAAATAAGAGGAGAGCTAAGGTAAACTTTTTTTTTTAATTAATTTTTTTTTTTTCCAACAAAGCTTACTCGAAGTGAATTGCATCAGCACGGCTGTATAGCACTGGTTCCCACCTGTGGAAGGCTTCAAGCTAACTGGAGATATAGTGCTTGACAGAATGTGTGAGATAGGATATAATTTAGTGTTGGGTATCTTTCCAAATGAGGAATGGGGGGAAAAAAAAAAGTAAGAAAAAAAAGAAAAGAGAAAGAAGAAATGTATGAGTGCTTCTGTGATACAAGTTGAAAGTAGTTCAGGATTCAGCATGACTCAGGCATAAAAGCTTGCCCTGTCCTAAAGCTGCTGGCTTTAAGAAGCTCCTTAGCTTCGCAAAAGAAAAGTAAAAGCATAAGTAGTAATGTAAGCATTTCCAGTCTGTGTCTCAGGACACAGAAAGAGAATATTAGATTAAGTGCCGTTTAACTGAGTATTTTTTCACCATGTACTGTTAATCTGTTCATAATTTATGACTTTTTTTTTTTGCTTTTGTGAGTCTTTTCATACTTCAGGTCTGCAGGTGATATTCTCCATCAAGTTCTGTATTACTGACACCTGAGGCATTTCATTAGCATTTAAATGAACCTTAAGTGCCTAAGTAATTTTGTGATAGGGCTGCATTTGTGTGGCTAGCTGTCTATTGCATTTAATTAAATTCTGGACTTCTTCCTTCCTTGTTCAGAGGAAAAAATGCAACTTCTGTCTGAAATCCAGCAATAGTAGGAAGAACAAGCAGGCCATAGTTTTGCCTGCTGCCAAGGTTTGTCCTCTACTCACTATCTCTCTTTTCACTATTCAGTCCTAATGAAAAGCTTTCTCAAGAAGGAGAATGTTTGAAAAGTGACCAGGGATGGTGAACTCTCAAACTGTCTCTGGGGCTTATTTGTCACAAAGCAGGGGATGACAGGCTGACAGCTGGGAGCAGCGTAGGCTTTGGCATGGCCTGGCTGTGCACAGTGGCTCTGGGGATGCCTACTGCTCTGTCTCCTTCAGTCCTGGGGGATTAGTCCTGAGATTAATTGTTCAGCTGGCTGAGCAAACAGTTCCACTGTAAAGAAAAACTAGTAGCTTCTGGAGAAGTGGAAAGGGTTGTTTTTCTTGAATGTACCTAGTCGATATCCCAGGCTCATTGAGTGATGGCAGGCTACAGCTCAGCAAGATGGCACAGGGCCACAGTGGCTTTGGGAGTGTCACATGGGCTCTGCTGGGCTGTAGGGTCCAGGGGCTCTTTATCCTCTGATAAATGTGACATTGTGAGAATGACCTAAGGCCCTTGTGACACCATGAAGAATCCCTTGGATGGGGAATTTTTACCTCTGTGAATTAAAACCATGTGAGAGTCTGTTGTGTAATGGAGATTTTTCAGTTTTGCCTGATTAGAGACACTTAATAAGAAAAGAGCAGAGTGAGGAAGACAGATTTCCAGAAGAGTGGTTCTGCTAAATTGGTGGGGTCTTGGATGTTTTTACTGCTGAGACATCATGTGAGATTCACTCTGCTCAGTCAGCACAGCCAAGAAAATGGACAGCTCAGGGGGATGGCATTAAACAGCTCTATTAAAGCTCACACAACTGGGACTGGGAAGACAAGGGACAGTGTTACTCTACTCCCAAGCAGGGTCAGAAGGACTAGGCAGGATGATGATAAAGGAGTGTGTTGTATTTGCAGTGGATTCAGCAAAGGACTTAAAGCTTTCTTTTGCTTTTGCTTTTTTTTTTTTTTTTTTTTTTTTTTTCCAAATCCATGCTTGAAGACCAAATTGAAATTATCACGATTGCAGCTGCATGCATTGCTGATGAGGTGTGTCTCTTTCACAACCACTTTTACTTGAGATCACTTCTAGTGAACGTGAAGTATAGAAGGGAACCCTAGACCTCTCCCAGCTGTGACACAGCTAAACCTCTGAGGCAGTGCCACTGCTCTCCACACTGCTTCTCTCAGCTACCAGGCCCCAGTGGTGCCACAGGTCAGCAGAGCATGGTAGCATGCTACCCAGCCAGCAGTCCTGCCTCTGGACCCACTACTGCACAAGCCTCCCTTACTGTCTAAGTTTTGTTTATTCACAGTCAACTTATACACATCTGTTCTTGTGCACTGTTTTGTAGCTTTTACACCTCTTCTGCTCTTCACCACTTTGATGTGACTGGGGTGGCAAACATATCCTCATCCGTCTTCGTGGTGTCCTTGGTAAATAAAGTGAAGCTTTGCTCTTCTTGTAGAAGTTACCTGTAGGATTGCTGTGGCAGTCTACATGGGCTGCACTGTAAGGTTGTAAGGTTGGGCTGCCCCTTTGCATCAGTTTACACAGCAACTCCTTTCTTCAGGCTGAGGATAGAGTACATATGTGTATACACTCAGTTTCCCTCCCTCATCACTATCCTTTGGATTTTACAGGTGCGTCTTTAGTTGTATAAAGTTTAAAAAAAAAAAAAAAAAAAAAAAAAAAAAAAAAGCATTTCCCTGTTAAAAAGTAGTGAATTGGGACTAAAAAAAAAAGAAAAAAATAATCAAATTCAGATCCTCTCGAGAGCGGTGCGTTAGAACATTTCCAGCCGCCGGACCGCGGGCACCGCGCTCCGCCCCTGCCCCGTCCCCACCGCGCGGTGCCGGGCTGGGCCGTGCCGTGCCGGGGGAGGAGCGGCGGGAGACGGAAGTGAAAACAAGAGCGAGGGACGGAGCCGCTGCCTGGCAGACGCGCCGCGGGTGTCTTCGTCGCTCCGCGCCCCGCAGCGCCGGGCTGGGTGAGTGAGTGGGGTTAGGCGGAGAGGGACTGGGGAAGCCAGAAGGTTGGGGTGAGGCTCGAACTTCGTGCTGCTTCTCGTAACTTGCAAGTTGATTTTGTTGTAATTTAACTCCGTGTCAGGGTGCCGTTAAGCTGCCCGGGGAGCTCACTGCAGGGTGCGGGACTCAGGTCGCTGCCTTAGGGCTGGAGCTTCGCTCCGGGTCGTTGCGGCGAGGCTGGTGGTTCGGTGCTGTCACTGTCCCGAAGACTGCCTCCTTCTCGTGTTCCCGCTGTTCCGCATCCCCACGCGTGGTAATGGGCTTTTCTGCCAGGGTTTTGAAATTCCCCCTTCCAGGAGCTGATCCAGCGAGCGTTTGGTGAAAACCGACAGAAGTTGCGCAGTTCCTCCTTGGTTGCTCAATGCCCCCTGCACGCAGTGGGGTTCTGAGGCTTAGATGCTGCTCTCCTGCTTTGAGACGTGCAGTGAGTTTCCGAGTGATCGCCTCCTTCCTGCTCCGTCTGTGAGGCTGGAGGTGCAGAGTCACGGGGGTGAGAAAGGAGAGAGGAGCTGCGCTGGGAGCCACGCGAGGCATTTCACCAGGCAGCTTCTTTCTCCCCGTTTATAGCTGCTTCAAACGGCGTGGGGGGAACCATCCTTTTCGAAAGAAATTTAATCTTTTCCTGAAGCTGTTGCTACAAATAGTTGTTACTATTTTTTTTTTTTTAAACCTGATTACGAGACCTTTGGATCCTTCTTATGGGTAAAGCCTTCTGCTGGTGCCCGTGAACGACGCGTGTACTGCTCACTGTACATAGTGTGCTTTCTTGATATCCCCAGTATATGGTGACCTGTTACTGTGGTGTCTTTCATTCACAGGGAATGAAAATAATTCTCCCTTTCCTGAGGGAGGGAATCTGTAACTAACTAAAATCCCCTTTCAGAAGAAATTAGAAAGTTGTACTTTCTTGCTTCAGTGGTGAGCAAGCCCCCTGAGAGCTCAAACTTTCTTTTCTTCTCACCCTCTCCAGCAGCAGAAAGACCTGGGGGTGGGGAGGGGGGAGGAGGAGGAGACGAAGAGCGGTGGCATTTACCATGCCGAGGATTTTGGGGTATGTTGAGCCAGTGTTGGGGCTAGAGCTGCCAAGGTAGCTCTGAATCCTGGTTTCCACACCTCGGGCGGTCCATTGGACTTGGATACATTTGCAGACCCTTCCTCCTCAAAACCTAAAATCCCTCTGCAGTGCACGGTGAGGTCAGGCTGGGTTTGGGGCGTGCAGCCCACTCGCTGCAGTGTGCCCGTGGTGCCACCTTAAATGTCAGCACAGGAGCTGGAATCTGGCCGTACCGCGGTGTAGGCTTACAGCCCGCTCTGCTGTGTTCTTTGCCTTACTTCAACCATACCAAAATAGTCGGGATCCACTACCTAAGATGTCATTGTAATGTTACTTATCTGAGGTGAAACTGAAGCCCTTATCTCTGGCTCTGGGCAGCAATTAAGTGCGGAGGTTGCCTTTTAAAGGTAATTTGTTGCTCGCATTGATGTGGAAGGGAGGGAGACGCTGGAGTTTTGCTCTGAGTTTTGCTCCGAGTTGTTTTTTTTTTTTTTCTGTCCTCTCACTGTTACGATGTGGCTGTCGGTATTTTAATTTAATTTGCAGTTTTCGTTTGAGGCTTGGTGTTAAGATCTGTCATGTCTGTAGCATTGTTTTGTCAATGCGAAGTTATGCTGTAGAACTAAAAGTCACAGGGTTTTTATTTTCTTCTGGTTAACTTCAAAGTTGTGACATTTTGATGTTGTACTGAAAGTGTCAAACCATAATGTGTTGGGAAACAAGTTCTGAGCTGATGACATGGCAGCATGTGATATTCATTTTGTCAGAGACAAATGTGCCAATGATGGTAACTTCTTCCATACTTGGATTTAAAGGATGCTATCAATTCATGCTTGTCTCAGCACTGAGGTTTATTTTTTTTTCCCCCACAGTATTCTATCAGATATTTGACAAATACTTTTTACTGTGTGCTTTTATTGAGATACAAGAATTTCAACACCAGAAACCTTGAAAGTAGGAAGAGCATGTTACCAGCTCCCTGTGTTTCTTCCTAATCAGTTCAGCACAGCAAAACATGGGAATGAAAGTACAAGTAATGGCAAACTTTTGTAGATTTTTGGCTGTCCTTATACTATGGAGGAGCAGTAGGGAGTGCTTTTTGTTTTTTATCTTCCTTAATTTAAAAGTGTAATCCTCTTCTGCAGGCATCAAGTCCTTAGCTTGGATCCTTGAATACTGAACACCATGAGCAACTACAGCGTGTCTTTGGTTGGCCCAGCTCCTTGGGGTTTCAGGCTTCAAGGTGGCAAGGATTTCAACATGCCCCTGTCCATCTCTCGGGTGAGTGTGTTCTCCCCTCTGCTTGTGTTTGGGTATCCATCCTGCTGCAGTCAGCCTGCAGCCTTCTTCAGACTACAAAGCCTTGAGCTGTGTGTGCTGGGCTCAACTTGCACTGTGGTGTGGGGGTCTGGGAAAATACATCTTTGTTGTCTGAAGATTCCAAGGAAATTTTACATCTCCATTTAAAGTCTAATCTATGTTCTTATCTATGCAACAAAACAGGCAGAAAGCACCCTTGAATTCCCCTCCCTGTTCACCCTCAGAAAGTTGTGACATGAAGAAGGAGGCTGGCAGGAAATGGGCAATTTTCTGCCTGTGCAGTTCACATGGGAGGCAGCGGGGGAGAATCACTCATGTTCCCATTGTTTATTCAGCAGTTCTTAACAGTTGGGGGATCTTTTGGTGTCTGTTCTTTCAAATCCCACTATTTGCAATAAGCTGCACTTAAGAAACGGGAGTTATAAACGGTAATTCATGGGTATGTGCCTGGGTGGAAATACTGCTTTCTCAAGAGTTTTTTTTTTATGCAGCAAGTGCTCTTAACTGATGTTCACAGGAGTGTTTTATAGAGTATGTGCTCTTAACTGATACTGAAAGGATTTGAGGAACGAAGTCAAAACAAATGTGATCTTTGTATCCAGGCATTATCTACCAGTTCCCAGCTTTTGAAATGGCTTTTTTTTTTTTTTTTCAGTGATGAATTTTCTTTCTATGTGGGCTGAGTTTCAAAGCCTTCCTCAGATGACTAAAACACTTAATTTACATCGCACGGGGACTAAATCTTATTATTTAAAATAATAAACCTATTGAATTTATGTGAGTACTGGAAATCTCTGGCTGAAGAGTTATGGCTCTGGACTCCAGCACCTTTAAACTGTGCTTTGCACGGTGGAAGCATTCATATATAAATGACTTCTTCTTTGCCAGCAGCCTGCCTCCCCCTCCTGCGTATTTATGCAGTTTAGTGACAAAGATTAATTATTTTTTACACCTGTTGGGACTGCAGAATTCCTGGGAGAGGGAGCAGGTTTCTATTTGGGTTTATGCATCATGGCAATATTTTTAGCTAATCTCAACTAGCGATTTGCAGCCTGCCAGTTCATTTAGACTTGGCTAATCTTAGTCACCTGTGGACTATTATTATTATTATTTTTTTTTTTTTTGTGGCTGGGGTAAAATGGAGAGCTGTGAAAATACCTGTGTACAGATAATATCTGAACTAAAAGGGGCTGAACTACAGTTTATTCCCAAATTCTCAGAATTTTCAAGTGGAGCTATAACTCGGTTTCTCGTTCAGCATCTGGTTACTCCTGCAGCAACGCGATGCTTGAAGTGGGAATGTTCTTCCAATGTGATGGCTGAAGGACTACTGTAGCAAGGAAAGTTTTTAGAAGCTTGGACTGTTGCCACCATGGGGTGTTTGCAGGCGGTACTGATGAGCATCTCTGGGCCATAGGCAGGAAGACACAATGATCAGCCAATTTTAGTAACAGTAACACTTGTTTTTTTGTAAGGGGCTCTGCCATCCTGGAGAGCCACAGTGCAACCTGGCTGGTAAGCATATTTTCCATCTGAAAATTTCTATAGAGGAAACAAATGAATTTAAATTAGTCTAGATGAGTATTTTACCACGTGAATTAAATGTGCTGTTTGTATGGAGTAGCAGGAAGGAATCAGCCTAAACAGCTGCGTTTAAAAGCCTGAATTATGGGATTCCCTAATGACAAGTGTCAGTGCTCATGTCAGCACATCATAATGAAAAATGGGTTCTGAGGTGGTTTTAAGGTTCTAAACATACACGGAGAGGGGAAGAACAATACCCCATTCACATGTTGGACCTCAGCTCTGCTTTCTGACTGAGTCATTTCTTTTTATTTGGAGTTAAGGACATCCAGATTTTGCACTTCTCTAGTGTAACGACAACAACACTTTTCAATCAAAAAAGCATTTAGGCTGGTGTGCCAGTCCAGCTTTGGTCTGGTAGCTGGAAGAATTCGATGCTGTGTTCCTGGTATGCTAGAACAGCCTGTACCATTCACCCCCACCCCTTCTTTTCCTGACAAAGTATAAATGCCTTCCTGCATCTGAAAACCACTAATTAAATTATTTTAGCATAACAGTAATGAGGCAGTAGAATTATGTTCTTTGGCAAGGAGGACTTTTTTTTTTTTTTTCCTGAAATTTTTGCTCTTGATGCTGAGGATGAATCCGGCTGTTTCACTGAGGGCTAATTTCCTGCTTTAGTTTAGTTTTGGCTCCTTGAATTTAAGTTCAAATAAAGTACAGTTTATGGAGCATAGGGAGTACTTTGTTTTTGAATGCTGTTTATCCAAAAAGCTAATGTCTTATTACTGATAATGGGAACAACATTTCATAGGCTTCCTGGAGAAAGCTTTCAGTAATTCGTTTGGCTTGCAATGGTATGCCATTTCAGTGGGAGTGGTAGTTGCCTCTAGGTGGTAAAGCCAACCTGTTTTTTCGTTCTACTGGTTTTTTTTGTGTTTGTTTGTTTCTTTTCCCCTAACACTAGTACACTGTAGACGTATTTGCCACATCATAACCAACAGTTTATCTATTATAGTGCTTCAAAATTGCTACATATATAGCTGCAAACAGCTCACAGTAAGTAGTGTACACCATGTTGGGCATATCCTTGTAGGTACTGGCATGAATCAATGTGTGCAGTGCTTGGAGCTGCATGCACTTGTATATGACTGGACTTTAACTAGGTGGCTCCTTGCGAAGGAACTCTATCCAGTGCCATTACATGGGTCAGAAATAGACACGTAGCAGGAGGTGGTGTGTTGGGAGTGGTTGTTCTAGGTTTGTGCTACAGGTGTGGAGCAGAGGTGTTGCTCTCACAAGAGAGTCCTCACTGGAGAGGAAGTTGCTCTATGAGTTTAAAAAAAACCAAGATTGATCTTTGCCCTTGAACCAGGAATGAAGGGCGGGCTGAGGTTGTAGATCTCCCTCTTCTACTAACAATAAACCATTCAAGTGGCTCAAGCTACCACATGCTGCTGTACTGTGAGGCTTCCAGGTATTTAATTCTGAAGTGGCATTTGTATAATTAGAGGCTGCAAGCTATGGCCAGTTAACTCATGCTGAAGAAAGTAGAAATTGCAGGAGATGACATGTGCAAACTAACATTACTGAGATGCTGTCCTCACTTGTTCTTTGTGGTGTTTTACATTAATTGAAGGAGCAAGGAAGACATTTGTTTGAAACCAGTGCTGTAATGCAAAATAAAAAAGTGGAAATCTAGAGCAAGTAATAACTAATTACTTTGGGATGCAAATTTTATTTTTAGCTATTGTAGGAAATGTCTGACTTTCCCTATGAAAGCAGAAACTTAATACCTGTCCATCTTTCTAATACATGCAGTTACGTGAAATTACTTTTGTCATCATGCAACTTGATGCAAATGAATTGATCATCTCTGAATCAATGCAGGCCACTACACAGGCAGCTGCTTATTTGGCATCTCCTTCTCAAGCTTCAGTTAGCAGTTTCTTGCTAGGTGCTTGGGACATGAGGAAGTGTCTCCATTCTTTGGTATTCGTCTACTGTAAGAATTGCATCTAAGACCCTCATTATTTCTCAATTATTTCCATGTAAAGTTTGTTTCCCAGTTGCTAAATATCAGCTGGACCAAAAAAAGTTGGTCAAAATATTTGAAACGGTGTTATTTCACTTTCAGTTTGCCAATGCTGAATGTATTGCTATGACTAACATCTATGCACATCTGAGGTCCTGGATGAATCCTAGTGATGTTTCTGTTACATCCATTTGGATGTATTAATCTCTTTAGATTTTGCATTAATATTATGTCTGTATTACTTTGAGGGTGATTTATTTAGTCCTCAGTGCTCAATAAACATAACTAGAATAAATTTGGTAAACATAGCAGTTTTGGCAATTGTATTCCTACAGTTGCCTTCTGCAGAATGAAATGAGTAGCCCTTGGTACTGAAGGATTATTCATTAATGTGGTAATGAACTGACAGGTTTAGGTATTCATTCTAAATGCATTCCTGAAACATTTGTAACATACCAAAATAGGGACACAAGTCTTGCAGCAAAGTCTGTAAACAATTCTTATCTCAGTTTTATGACAGTAATTGCTGCCAGAAACAAGGAAATACTGAAGTGATACTATAGTAGTGTACGAGAGTTGCTCTGAAAGCAATGCCACCTACTTTATCATGTTGACCCACAACATCAGAAGTGGATGTTGATGGTATGGCTGTAGAAGCTGAACCTTTCCATCAATATTCCCTTACATTTTGTTGCTGTGTGAAAGATGGCAGCTGAGAAGCAGTCTGACAAAATGACTTTTGACATGGAACTGCACTTGAAGCAAAGGTGTGGAACTGAGTTCCTACATGTAGGGAAAAAAATGGAACCCATTGGCTTTTTTTTTTTTTTTTTTCCTATCAGAAATCCCCTCAGAAATAGCCCTGTATTTTTGCATTTATTCACATATCAAGTACATTTTTCCTTGTTTTGTGGCAAGGTTGCAGCTGATGAAAGACTCATGATAATGAATTTATCAGCATGCAGCACCCCCAGGGAACAGGTAGACAAGCAGCCCACCTTGGGATGAAGTAGAGAATGAGTATGCATGCAGCATATCAGTAGCTCAATCTGTGTCCCACGTGAGCATGCTGAAATTCTTCGTGCTGGTGTCAGATGATCATCACCAGAGCAATTGCCCTCCTTCGCATTCCTATTTTTCCATCCTTCCTACCCAGGTATCCATGTGGTTATCTATTAAGTCTATGGGGATGGAGCATATGTATGCTCTTTGCATAATATTTGTTTATACAGAAGCTTGGCCTTTGGTCTTCCTAATGTTAGGAAGCAAACTATTTGATTGTCATTAACATCTGTGAAAATTAATTTTAATGATAATTAAATAAAACAGTGGCGTGAGTAGACCCCAGGTATGCCAGCTTAGATTGACTAGAATTTGGCTGAGCCCTTTGTTTGGTGTGATT